GGTATTTAATGCTTGATTTGGTTTCAATTTCCGTGTCATCTATGCTACAGGGATCATGAGAGTTAACTAGTTCATGTAAGTCACGTCGATGCTTGAAAGTAAAGTCAAGCACCTGACATTTGGAAGGACCCTAATTCCATTATAGATAATATAAGACCATTAATATAAGACCATTAATATAAGACCATTTGACTTGGACCAGTTGTTGATGTCCAACAGAAAGCTATTAAGTTTGGAGCTGTCAGACTCGGAAGTGATAGGCAGTGATACAGTCAGATCATCTGCAAATTTAACAAAGTTAGTTTCGTTTGAATGAGGCAGGTCATGTAGGAAGAAAGAAAAAAGAAAAGGAGAGAGGACAGCACCTTGTGAAACACCGGATTTTGTAAGCGAGGTAGAAGAAGACTTGCCGTTATATACAGTATACTGCATTCTATCAGAAAAATAGGAATGAAACCAACTCTTAGCCCAGGATCCTGTTTCTGTCAATGATGGCTTATTTAATAAAAGGCCCCTAGGTACAGAGTCAAAAGCAGATGTTTAGTCTAAGAAAGCACTACGAACATATTTAGCACCTTTGTCTAAACAAGAGACAACATTGTGATATAAGACAACCGCAGCATCCAAGGTACTTCTACCATGTTTGTATGCAAATTGTTTAGGATCATTAAAAGGTTTCAAAGCAGGTTCAAGACGAAGTAAAAGTAATTTTTCCATCAATTTTTAAAAGGGGGAAGTAATTGCAATAGGCCGAAATTTAATATCAGAACCAGATGGTTTTGGTGGCAGTGTGAGGCTTCTATCAGATACAGTCATAAGTTAATGGAAAGTTTTCACTTTCTCCTCATGATATATGTTAGAAAGGTCATAAGATAAGAAATTTTATTCAACTGATAAACATCATGAGGTAAAACTCATGAAAATGTGTATCAGAAGTTAGTCAGTAACTCTTATGTGCTGAGTCATAAGAAGTCATTATTTTGGTATAAGACATTCGCATTCGAAATACTTTTTGAAATCAGCACTCAGGAGAACACTTAAAGCCTTTTAAACTCTTTCTTAGGGATTCATTCTCTATCGTCTTTGTTATGTAACCCCTTTAAATTGTATGCATAAATTTATTTTTTTTAAACTAGAAATGATTGTTTAGACAGCATATAGGCGTAATTTTCTAAGCACTGTTCACAAATTGTGAAACAATCTATCGACTGACATCATGAAAAGTTTGCAAGCAGTACGCAGCTGATCAAAAGCCAACAAAATAAATGACGGCAGCACATTAGTCTGCACAAACCACACTGTTGTTCTTGCTTTATTCAAAATCTTCAAGTATTGGTTTTTGTAGGGATTTTTGTTTGATTGCATGGAGGATTTAATCATGAGCTGACATCAGTTAGAGAACCACTGGAAAACCTGAGAGTACTGGACTGGATCGGGTCCCAGCGGCTCAATGGTCTACGAGCTCGCCTTGTAACCAGAAGGTCCTGGGTTCGAATCCCGGTGGGTGCGTACTGATGAGGAGTCTCAAACTATGACGAAACGGCTGTCCAGTACTCCCAGGTTTTTCAGTGGTTCTCTAACTGATGTCAGCTCATGATTAAATCCTCCATGCAGTTATTCAAAATCATCAAAGGGAGTAAATCCGTGGAAATATTCATTTTGGTTGGAGAGTAAACTAGATATTTATTTATTGAAGTTTGATATTTCTTAAATTTTTATTGATTACCAATTTTACTGAATTATTGGAACATTCAGTGTTCGAAGTATGTATTTAACGATGTAATGCATGTCTCGACCATTGACATAAGTTAATACTGACTCAGTTTTAAAGCCTTCTAATTTTCATATCAAACACCACTGATTGAATTTTGTACAGTTTTCGATTTTTCTTTAAATTTATAAGAAATAATTATTCCTTCTTCTTTTGCAACGGTTGGCATTTTATTCTACTCATGCTGCCTGTTATCTGTAGAGTCTTCTTCTGTGAAGAGTTCACGGTGTCTTGTAAATCAAAGGTTAACTGAGTCACCTGGCAGCTGCTCTGACAGCTGACGTGTGAAAAAGAAGACTTTCAGTGTTTGTATGACTAAGCCGCTTTAGAAACTTCCATAACAATTGTGATGTACCAATATATTAATTCCAAGATGTCTGCAGTGCAACATTTGTTGTGCATTCGATTTTCATAGGACGGAAATTTTGATAATTCACATTGATTTTCTAGAGATGCCCTAAGTTCATAAAGTCCATTCTTAAGAATAACAAGTAATCTGATGAGATACCATAACTAGTCTCAGTTATTCCTTACTTGAACAACCAATGCAATACCTCAGTGGAAAGCTTTAGGGTCTGATAGTCATTTCACTACATTATGTTGGCTGACAAAGTCAGGAGACGCGTCGATAGTTTGAATTAGAGCTTAGAGCCACTATATGCTATTCCTTTCCATCTTATCATTGAGCGATTCGACAGTGGCAATCTAAATGAGTGCATGATGTACACTATATCATTTGACTCAATCATACTCTAGGACAATATAACGATATGAAACAGAATTCTGAGGAATATTTTATTTCTATGGATTCACACTTGGTAAAAACGTTTTACACAATTATATCTATATGTAGAGATGCACTTGCGGACTACTCTCAGCCACTAACAATACAGTTCTTGTTTTTGAAATAGAAAGAGACGAGTATTCTAAATGCCATTGATAGTCACGACGCAAAAGGTGGTATATATATATATATATATATATATATATATATATATATATATGTATTTCTCTGATCAACCTTTTGTCCTTTGATTGTAATTAAATTTGTTTAGCATTTTTTTATCTCGGCCAAGTTAAATCACCTGTAAATGATGAAGCAGCTGATTTTAATGGATGGATATATGGCTACAACATACGTTTCAGTCTTGAAATTATGAGAAACGTAGAATTGTGTGACCTGAGAGAATTAACTGCCCTAGTCAAGTCACAAATGAGTTACTAACGTCGTGCAACTTTTGGGTTTCTGAACATATTAATTCACAGAATTACAACTGAAGCAACACCCTTATCCAATAGAATCGATCATATTGATTTAATCAATATAAATTCAGTTACACATAAGGCGATACCCAACCACAACTTAAGCTGAGACCACCACTCCATCAAGAAGTAGATAAGGTTAAGAATAATTCTTCATTAATAAGTGACTGTGTCTGACAGCCAGCGAAGCAAGTACTGTTAGATTTGAATTCCGCGAAATTTCAGTTAAATGCATACTCGGAGTAGTAGTAATCGTCATGTTCATCATCATAGTCATTGTGAATTTGTTAATAATTTACTATCTCTTCACAGAGCACTGGATTTTTCAGTGCATTGTAGCAAATTTTTTGTGGATGGTGACTTGAAATCTTATCCAGCTGCTTCTTAAAGACTGATGCATTTCTCGCGTTGACTGCCAGGATTGCGTTCTCCAAAAGACGGACGACATTTTTGAAAGCTTGTAGTTGTCTGTAGAACGCCTCCTTCTTCTCTTCTTCTGAGACGTTTGTAGGCGCATAGCATTGAATGACTGCAACTTTCCTTCCTTTTGAGTTGAACCTGGCTGTCATTATCCTGGAGGAGATTGGTTCCCACTGCATGAGAGCTTCGGTTGCTGTTGGCGACATCATGATGGCCACTTCCTCGATGTGCTCTTGATTGTCCTCTGGGTGGCCGGAAAAGATTACTGTCTCTCCAGTAGTTAGTTGACACTTTCCAGTTCCGTTCCATCTGTTTTCGCAGATTCCCATCACTTCTATTCTGTACCTTCTCATTTCAGCGGCTATCTGGGCAGCCTTTCTAGTTTCGTACATTGTACGAACATACCATGTACCCATCCTTACTTTTGCTTTCATCGAAAGAAGGCACATCGGCTGACTGGTTTCCCGAAGGCTTTCACCAGCCTGCGTCATTTCACTTCCTCGATTCCAGCAAAAAGTAAGGATATTGCTTATGTTTTTAGAATTTTTAATCTAATTATTCGTTGAAGTTTCTGTAGCGATTTGGTTGTTTTACAGGGGTGGAGTTGCTAGCACCACGCCCCAACCCGCCCTCTTTACCCGGGCTTGGGACCGGTGAGAAAACTAGTAAGCTAATAGCCTAGCAAGCTAGTATCTGGCGAGGTTATGAATAGAAATGTCTGCTATTTAACAAATACAATGAATATTGAAAGAGAACAATTTTTTAAATGTAACAGGCTGATTCGTGTCTTTTATATTCGTGGTTGAACAGTGCGTTGCTTTATTGTCTATTGGTAACAAGACGTATTTAAATTCCCGCTCATTACGACTACAGCTCTGGATTACTGTTTGAACCACAGATTTCACCTCTAACTAGCTACTTCTAGTATTTGTTGAGTGTTTGTTGGAAGTTAAACAACTTCCACCCCGTGATATTTTAGTAATTTCGGAATGTGAAGTAGTTGTCAATTAATTCTATAGCTGTTACAGTAGAAACTTAGGTGTTTTCGAACATGCAAAGTTGAACTGTTCAGTCGAATTGCGATATGCACATTCACTTCGATGGCAGCTGCATTTGGCAGGGATACAGTAGTTGGGTGTTAAATTGTGCTTCAGATCGAATAGTATTCTGTGGAGTGATATTACGTATAAACAGTAGCTAAAAATCACTCTACGATTTCTGTAACTACCACCGAGAATAAAGCGATATTATTATTCCATTATGGTTAAAATTTATTTTGATAAAGTCTCACAGTGTTATACAGTAATACTTACTGATGACGTCACGAGCACTATTTATTGCTCACATTTTATAGTGATTGTCACTGAAGTGAAAATATTACACTTTTGGATCCAGTAGTCATAGAGAATACCTCTGAAGGAGCAGGTAATTCAGTGAATCCAAATCAGGAAACCATAACGAACTGCCTGTTATTTGTTTCACAGATAGTGTTGATTAGGTGAAATACAAGTGCGTCACATAGTAGTGTCTTCCAATAGCTAATTTTATGTATTCTGACAATGCTTCATCAGAATTAAACAGGGGCGGTTCTGATTTTCCCGAATCTGTAGGTAAGCTGGCTGTATGCTGTATTCATACTCTTTTCCAAAATTTCATCAGGTATCTCTTTCTATTGTTTAGGAAGCGAATATCACCAGTGATTCCGATGGCAAGATAATCTAGTTGACAAAACGTGTTTTTTCATGTTCTACGTCTAAATTTGGTGTTTATCTGAAGACGTAGGACTACTCACCTATTCGATATTCATCTATCAACTGTCTCTATGCTTGGCCTGATATTTCCTTCACTGGTATTATGATGAATGCAAATATTGCATGTAAAGATACCATGAAGTTTTGTTTCACAATGTTCATTAGAATTTCATCATGTAGTTTTTCTGGAATGTCACTAGGTATTCAGAGACTAGATATTGTTGTGAGGAGGATATGTCGAAAACTTGCTGAATATTTTAAATCATTTTCTAACAGTAATATAAATATTTAAGTAGTTAGGAATCAGAGAATACATCTGTTTATTCATCATAAAAGTTTGGAGTTGGTGTTAATCTCCAACCTCTCCAACCCTTGTTATTCTCTCAACTATATAATACTCATCACTAGCAAGTTATAATATGTCGACATACCATTTGATTTCTGGAAGTCATTCCGATAGTGCATACTGCATTTCTAAGATAGGAAACATACAGACAGCGTGAATTACAATATAGAGCCACCATAAGCCATTCCTTTCTAATTCCTCAATGAGTGAATCGACAAAGTCAATCAAATAGAGTGCATGATGTGCACTGCATTATTCAACTCGATCATAATCTAGAACAATATAACGATATGATACAGAATTCTGAGTAATAGTTTATTTTATGGGTTCATACTCAGCGAAAGCGTTTTAAATGTCTAAATATAGAGGTGTGTATGCAGACTACTATCAGCCAGTGAAGAAAATTTGCCGATTTCGCAATACGAAGAAACGAGTATTCTAGATGCTAATGCTAGTCACATCCCAAAAGGCGATATGCATATATTTGTTTGTCATCAGCCTTTTTTCCTGTAATTGTCCAAGAATTTGTTTTAATATTTTTTCTCTTGGCCAAAGTTATTTACCTGTAAACGACGTAATGGATGGATAAATATTTGGCTAGACCACACGTTTCAGTCTTGAAATTATGATTGGCGTACATTTTTGTGACCTGAGGGGATTAACTGTCTTGGTCAAGTCACATATTTTAACGATAGAAGACAAGTTTCAGGCAACAGATCGTCTTTTGAGAAAATCAACAGATATCTATAGATTGTTATAGGCAATATTTTTCGTTATTGTTAGCAGAGAAACAGCGTCTTCTGATTAGCCATTTTCTCACTAGAAGTTAATTTGTCATCTATTGAGGTTATTACTTTGAAGGTCAGACTATATATCTGTTAATCGTATCCACCCACTCAAAGTCTTTGTAACTGTTTTTCTCATGACCAAAATATGGGAAGTAAACGCTCATGTAAACAACTGTCTACAAATTTGGGTAGCAGAAAGCTCCCACCACAATATGAGTTACTAACGTCAAACAAATATTGGGTTTTGGAGAGCTGGAACATAATAATTCACAGTATTTAAACTGAAGCGACACCCTTATCCGACAAAATCAATCATATAGATTTATTCGATATAAATTCAGTTGCAGATCAGGAGATACCCAGTCACAACTTTAGCTGAAACCATCACTTCATCAAGAAGTAAATAAGATTAACAGTAATTATTGTCAAATCAGTGAGCGTAATTTTAAATTTGAATTCCGCGTAACTGCAGAGAAGTACACACTGGGAATTGTAACCATCATATAGATCATCAAAGTCATCATAAATTTGTTACCGTTTAATTAGCTTTTCACAGTAATCCGGAATTTTCAATCAATTGTAGCAAGTTTTGTGGATGGTGACTTGAAATCTTATCCAGCTGCTTCTTAAAGACTGATGCATTTCTCGTGTTGACTGCCAGGATTGCGCTCTCCAAAACACTGACGCCATTTTTGAAAGCATAACAGCAGAAATATTGAAGAGTAATCAATAGGCATGTACTCAGATTATGTTATGGTATATATTCGGCTGTCTCTGCTATTTATATATAGCTCTGCAGAATTCCTCATTTCTTGTCTTCAATTATATTTTACAAGTTATTAGAGGCATAACACGCAGACATCACCAACATGAATGTGTGTGAGACTGTTGGTGTGTCTGCCTTGCACAGGTGTTTTTTGTATCAGCGAAGAAAAAACTCCTCATAATGAAGTTACTGAGTTTTCTGTGAGTTTCAAACGATGTAGCCTGATGCAATGCATGTCTGTGTGTATATCAATACCCAATTAGATTGCAAACACTATTTATACTGTTACCTTTTAAGTTATGTCAGCGATAAATTATCTAGACCGGGAAAAATGTTCAGAAGAATACGGTGCACTTTATTATCATCAATTTTCCTGTGTAAGTAGCTTCTATTTTTATGACAAAACAGTTGGTCTTCCATCGTGTAAGTCAACTTTGTCGTAATTTTGAAGTGTACGATATTTGTATAATATATATAAATATCATATGAAACCATGTTTCTTTATGTGATACATGAGACGTTGAATGTTTTGAGTTATCGTTTACCTGCCTGAATCAGAATCATCGTTCATCTGGTGGTTTACTTGTAAGACATATTAATTAATTTTAAAATTTGTAAAACAGTGTCACTTTCATTAGTTGAAACTCCTCCTGTACCTAACCGTCATGGTGTTTAAATATCGGTGTATAGCATGCTTTTAAGAGAAAGCTCATTATACAAGGAGTTATCTCCTGTCATCCTTTCATGCAACAATATATCAACTGTAATTAACATGTATGCCTAGACTACTCACATTATATTTTAACTGCATAGCCACTAATAAGAATTCGTATCTTTGTGGGCTACTTGGATCACTAGGCTATATATCTCAAAGTAATATATGATTGTCATTCGAATGCTTTAATGTTCCTTTGTAAGGTTTTAGGAATCATTGTCTTGCAATCAATTTGCTCTAGTTTTCTGTAAATATGTATTTGTTTTTCTCAACCCTACCTTTGTACACTTCCTGTCTGAGAGAATGTTTCATAAGCCGTACATTGTCATACATTTTCAGGATCGAAATAACTTACTGGAAGTAATTTTGATGTTTATTATCGTCAAATGAAACACTTGTTTCTATCCTCGCGGTCTTTGAATTTCTGATTCTGATTGTTTTATGGAGGGTGCTTCCGCTGACAAGATTGTGAAGTCAGCCTGTAGTGATAACTGAAGCGCTATCAATCATGAATGAATTAGTTCTGAGCTGTACTCCAAGTCATAGTAAACAAGTCATTTCGACACTTATCATTAGGAATCAATATTCAAATAAAATTTCATTTTTTCCATTTGATTTATTTTATTTTATTATTTTAAAGGCTTATTTTATGACGGGTACACGTTTTGTGACAGTGAGCATTTGTATATGTCGATCTGAATATTATTGTTTTATGGTTTCGATATTCCGAGGAATATTTGCGCCTGATGAAGGCTTTCAACATTTTTGATCTTATTTATATGTTGTGCGTAGACAGTGTACCTGAATATATACGGGAGCACATAATTTTTATAACTAACCTAATTTATTTTTGGAGACAATTGGTTCAAGAAAATTCAATTCTCATTAGAATTATCAGCATGCTTCTATGCATATGAGGTGATACAAATTTTACATGATTTGTATATTTCGATGCAAAATATTGCACTGACTATGGATGATGTATACATATTGATACTTCTTGTGCAATAGAGTAACACAAAGACGAACCAGTAGTAATGTAATTGTGACCTAATGCAATTTACGTTTCAGCTAGCAAAATGATAAATATGGCCATTGTAAGAATTATGATATTTTTTGTGTATTCAAAGATACCTTTTAATACTTGCATACCTTGAAATTCGCATAATTTTTCCCTAAAGTCTTTTTACATGTTTAAGTAACGATAATTTATTTAGCGCTTCAATATAGAAAAAATAATTTATATTCTCGAGGAAGCCACTAAACTCTAACATATGCGTAGCATGGTTGGAGCATAGCTATAGCTAATTTCAGTAGAAATAGTGCATAATTTATTTGAAAGCCTTGAAACGATTTTCCAGTAATATTGTGCGCCATCCTAACAACTAACGATCATTTTGATGTTCATCGAATCGTCCTCAGCGTTTCAGAACATCTGAAAATGTAAAAAGGATAATAAAGTTAAAATTACTGACATTTTAACAACTGCTGTGTTACATTTATTCAATCTCATTACTTGTTCTCATTGCAGAATGTCACTTCTGGGGTTTAGTAAGTTATAATGATTACTAATAAGTGTAAATTTATGACCAGTTCCAAGTCTTACTGGAAACATAAGCGCGCTTGTAGAATTATTTGAATAATTATCCCTTGGAAACTCAATATCCTTGGAAACTATTCAGGTGAAGGTTTCATAATCTGCGATTCGTTCGTAATAATAATCACGCTGAAGTTGATAACTACTTATCACATGGTTCAGTTTGAGACCTGAAGGTTTATTTAGTTAATGGGCCTATAAATGTCATTCTGCTACTGTTGTTTTGAAACATATTCAAGGAAAATCGCTCTCCAATAGCTTCAGCGGGGCAAACAATATCATTTGATTTTCGTTGCAAATAAAACTGTATAATTCTTTCTGAACTGAACTAGAATAGTCATTCGTTGCTTCTTCCTGTATTTCTATAGTCACGGGTTTTTCATTATGGCAAGCAACTTATAAATAAATTGACGGTTTGTAAATAAAAACATGGAAAAACCCTCAACGATTTCCAAACTCTTCCACGTCGATTGTGAATACATTTGATGAACACTGAATTGAATTCCTTGGAATCTCCTTCAGTAATTCATTTGCAGATGATCGTCATTGATATGCAAATTACTGAAGATCTAACACAGTCTCTGCTAGTGACGTCTCAATGGAATTTTAAAAGATTAGAAATAACAACTACTTATTTCCTTGAAGTATTTTTATCTACTTGGACTTTACTTAATGTGAATGTGATTGCCTTGATGCATGTAGTTCTGAGTCTGAAATCCAAGAAATGTATTATCAATGATTTCTGTCACATTGATTTTTCTTATTTTAAAATAGGGTGGCGCATTACCAGGCGTAAGTATTTATGATTATCTATTTGAATAAACTGCGTAGTAAGACAACGTGAAGCGGCATGCGCATACGAAGTGGTCGTTATTATCCTGTCAATGAATCAGTGAGTAACTAAACGGTAATAAGGTTATGACGTCGTGGGTATTTATGGTCTCTTTACTCAGTAGATGTTCAGTCTCCTCTTCATCTACATTTCTACTATTTTTACTAGTGATTTGAAAGGGATGCTCCCAAATATGTGTGAGGTAACAGTTACTTAATATTAATAACATTGATCAGGTAGGAATTAAAATAAAATGAGTAAATTGAGTCACGTAACATAATTTACAGGGTTAAGTAGGTCCGAACAAAAAGGTGGAGAGATGTTGTGAAATATATATGAGATAAGAATTACGTATTACAAAGGGCGTCAACTGAGTGGAAACTGAAATATTTGTGAAATGAGTAAATTGAGTGATGTGACATTACTGACAGCAGTGAATAGGGCTGAATTACAAGTGAAAGGTGGTCATCTCTAGGAGTATTGAAATATCATGAGTGGCCTTTTAATCATTACTAAATGTGCCTTGGTTTCATAAGGTTCAAACATCGTAGACGTGAAAACCGTAACCTATATCACACTAACGATCTGTCTAATTGCAGGTTTGTTTACAGTCACCCATAATTCATCATCACTATCTGTCTAAATATTTGTCTCTCATTGTTACTAAGCAAGACTGATCTGATGCGTTAACTGATGTAAATAACATGAAATGATTGTCCATTCATAGAATATACCTTATTATATATATTAAGTGAAGTAAATTAGTCAGTATCTCCTTGATATTCACTTGATGTTAATTGATTTATATTCTTGCAGTCGACAAATGTTCCGATTCGTCAACATTCATAATTTTGTTGTTGTTTTGGTTATAAGCTATTTAAAATGAACTTAAAAACTATAAAAGTATACTTGAAAGAATAACTTCATTCCTTTAGAAATACCTGCATGTTGTTGCTGAAGGCATCAAACGAACTCTTGTTGCAATATTTTCAAATGACCATCGTAAATTCCTATACAGACTATTGTCATTGATATTAATTTTTATAGCAGTGCGGCAAAATATCACTTCCAAATAGAATGTTAAATTACGATGATTACTGGACTAATTGTGTTGAAAGCTCAACCAGATCTTCCTAGGTTTCAAGATCATTTAAATTTCGTGGAATTTAATAACCCTAAATTACAACGCGCTGATTGATGTTATGATAGCAGGAAGGTGCATCTAAAGTGGTGAGTCAAAATTATTACTTACTTTTGTGTCTAACTTTGTTTGTATAGTTATTTTCATTCATTTTAAACTGTATTATCTTGAAAACTACTCACATCGTCACATAGAAATGACTATAGTACTCTCCGTGATATGTTTATGGGGGAAGAAATGAAATGACAAGGATAATTAGTCTACTTTTCCCTACATTCATCACAAATACATCTTTCTTTTTCTGTTTTTAAACTTGACTGAAGATAAAGGCATCTGGATTTTGTGCTTATATAACCTTACTGAATCGTCTTTCGAAATGACTTATTGGCCAGTGGATCATTCCCTATTTACCTTATAATTATTGTTGTTTCTTTTGATTCCTAGAGCAGCATTGGGCTTCAGCCATACGTCCGCATTGCGTTCGGTTCTCTGCCAACGTTTTCACATGGCTCCATGTCTGCCCACATGATTTCATCTCCTCTTGACATGACCTCCTCCACTTCATCCTCACACTAACAACCAACTTGTCACCTCCAATTCGGATTCCACTCGAGCAATGGCCTAGGGTGTGATGTCACTTGATGGTTTGTTTTCCCAGAGTATGGTCAATCCAACTCCGTTTCTTCCTGCATCTTTGTCTCACTGTCAAAGGCTCCAAAAGTGTTCGTCGAGTTTAACCTCGGTGATTTTTATTACATTCATTGAGTGTATGATAGGGTTGCACTTCACCGACTTTGGTAATTCTGTGCGATTACTTTACAGGATAAAATTCCTGTTTAATTTGACAAAGAATATCATTCCTTCATTACTGGGTTTGCTGCGATTATTGCATACAATTAACCAGCGTAAACCCAGAAGTATGTACTTACGATTAACGGAACGATGTGTACAGCTTAATTTGCAGCTAGCATGGATACTTTTTATAACAGTATGTCATCGGATCCGAACGACTGAATTTCAATGTTTTTATTTCAATACTTGAGGGATCTATAGATAAAAGTAGAACTCGGCGTGATGCAGGCCCATAGTTAT